TTGTCACTTCGTCCTTCAGCCAGTACTTCACTTTGCAACAACTTTCCTTAAAGTTGCTAACACTTATCACCTCGTCCTTCAGCCAGGACTTCGCTTTGCAACAACTTTCCTCAAAGTTGCCAACACTTATCACTTCGTCCTTAAGCCAGGACTTCACTTTGCAACAACTTCCTTCAAAGTTGTCAACACTTATCACTTCATCTTTAAGCTAGGACTTTGCTTGGCAGCAACTTCTCTCAACGTTACCAACAACTAGGAATGTTTCACAACAACTCTTTCCATACTCAATGCCTAGTCATTCCATCAAGATCTCCTGCAACTGAGGCATACTCCCCTTAAAATGACACAGAACAACCGCCTCTATGAAGTCCATGCATTATATAAATATCCATACAAGGACTTAAGGGACTATTGTTACGGGCCTTCTGAGGCCCTCCACCTCACCCATCCACCTCATCTACCGCGTGTTGGCCAAACTACTCTGATATTACCACGTGGCAAACGAACTAAATTCATGTCAGACGAATTTAATTCATGTCGGATTAACTGATTCCATTACTCCGAACTGAAGGACCATCATCCCACCTAGTAGAAGAACCGAACTCATCTGCCATTTACGGTGGATGCAAAGGCCTGCACTCTATATTCATTATGCCTCACAATTCGCCTCGCCACATCTCTGCCAAGATCTTTTAGGAGATCTATCCAAAGTCAAATCCATGACTGATTGATGGGAGGCTACAAAACTGTCAACTCAGCTGCTATGTCAGAAATTATTTAATGTCCGCCAACCTATGGATTGACGGATTGACACCTATGAAAAGATGGGTCATCCGGGATCTGAAGCCATGTTTCCCTTCATCTAACAGTTCACTTCTTCCCTTTCTTAGTATAAATACTCCCATACTAGTAAGAGCAAGGGGTTCCCATTTCAACCTGGGCATTCTAGTCTTTAATTTTAAATAGCATTTCACTATATTTACACACATTCTCAACCACGTCCCGGTGACCACTTCATCGTCGGATACAACCATTCGGTTGACTGAAATACTGACTTGACCATAGTAGTATCAAGGAAAAGATTGATCGTCTACTCTTGCTTTACTTATTCCACATCCACTGTCCTAACTGCCTGCTACTCTCATTTTACCTCACAACCAAAAATTTGCTGCTCAACACTGTTATTGAAAATGTAATAATATAAGCATAAAATATGACCACCCGTCCACCTCTTCTGTTTCTGTCTCCAAGATGTCCATACTTTATATCTCTTTTTGTCGATAATTTGCATGAGTGAAGGTGACATAGGTGTCAGGAATGGTGTTATAGCGCTTGTTAACAAGGGTAACAGAAGTTTGTAATGGTAGCGGAAGTGTGTGGCAATTGTATTATCCCCTGTTACTTTCTTCTTCTGCAGCTTTCTTTGCTTAACTTTCTATAGAACAGCTAAAATAAGTATAAATGAAGTGTGTCAAAATATTATGTAGTCAGTATTTTCTTAGTGGTATCACAGAAGAAATATCTACTCCATCAAAATTCTTTATTCATGCTGACCCGCCTGTAACTTGTTCTTCTGCAGCTTGTCAATCATGTTTATTTCTCAACTGATGGACAACGGATTGCAAGTGCCTCCTTTGACAAGTCAATCAAGTTATGGAATTGGTATTACAGGCAAGTTTGTTGCTGTATTTCGTGGCCATGTGGGGCCGGTCTACCAATTAAGGTCAGAATTTTTTCACTTTATATTTATCCATTTTCAGGTAGTATGGCTAACTAGAACTTTTCTTGCAATAGGCTGATTCTGAGTGGGAGCGCAGACTCAACTATTCATTATGTGGTTAAGAATATCATTAAGAAGAAGAAGAAGAAGAAGAAGAAATGGGATTCACTTCTTTCCGCGAATATGTTGTGTGACTAGTCCAGATATTGTGTCACTGCTTGACTGTCCCATCACTAAAATTTTGACATCTCACTGCAATTTTAAACTCTGCCCGCTAATATTTTGACAACAGGTGACACTAAATAGCATCTTGGTTTCTAACGACTAAACTGCATGAATTCAAAAGATTTTGTTTTCCCTTTGGAATCTCATCTATTTGATGCTTAAATCTTAAAAACATTGAACTATTCTATTGACATCAAATTTTCTTAGAATGATTGCTAGTTTATTTTTGTTTTGTTGAAATCTTCATTATATTCATATGAAACTAGAATATACTTATATGTAACCATTCTACTAGCACGAGGGTAAATTCTTTTATTCCTTGTGAAATATGTGTTCTAATATCAACATGTATGCAATGGTAGATATATTTATCATATGTGATCCTCCTTAATTATCTCTCTCCAAAAATGTTCCCCTCAAGTTGGCTTGAAGACAGACATATAGAGTCAAATTCAACAATTTTCTCAAGCTCATTGTAAATATATCGGCTAACAACTTTAGACAAAGGAGTAGTTACTATATTTTCTTTTTCACAAACAGAGTGACAATTCAATTCAATGTGCCATGTCTTGTGAAAAACTGAAATAATGGAATCAATGTGTATGGCGACTTCATTATCTAAAATAAATTATTAAATTTGTAGACTAAAATTCAAGTCATTGAACAAAGCTTGATGTCATTTTATATCACTAGTAATAATAGCCATAGTCTGAGTTTTTGAATTATCAAATAATTGTTTTTCAATTAGGTTGACCTTGAAGATGAACTTGTTCTTATCTAAGAAGTTGCTTTTGAACCTGTTAGATATTTTTTTAGAAATAATTTGTCTAATTGGAAGAGCTTTCAAAGGAAGCTGGTTCAGGATAACTTCCCGAGAAGGTGCCCTATACATCAATGTTCCTTTTTATCAAGTTTAACGTTAGCTAAATTAGACAAAATTTATATACATGTTTCAATTTTTTGAGAATATTATTTGTAAGTTTATTGTTGTTGTCTGAACTAGATACTTGATAGGTTTGTGGACTTTGTCTGAACTAACTTCTGATGATCCCAATGTCTAAAAACGCACTGCCTTAGTCCTAAACTCGGAACTGATAACAGCTGCAGCGGGCAAAACCTTGGTGCTCTATCTATTGAAAGAGGGAAGAGTTTCTTATTAACTTTTAGAACATATTGTTAAACCCATAGAGTCCATGTATGTCTGAATTAGGCTTCTAACATGGTCATTTCCTTCTAATGGGGAATCTGTACAGTTTTTAACCCCATGTTATACATATCTTTTGGTCTTATCAGTTTTCTTTCTTGTATTCAATGGGCTCATAACTTCATTCTCGCCTTTTCTACTCCAAGATCGAGTTGCTAGAGCTAGAGATAACTTCGAGAACTAATTCTCCCATGGCAAGTCATAGATGGCGAGTGATTTTCACACTTCTATTCCTAAAATGGTGGTTTTAGTATTTTCATGTACTAGGGATTCTATGTCACTCGCTCCTTGTGTGGATTTTCTGCCATTATTACGGGAATGATATAGACAACTTGGTATTCATCTATAGCAAAACGAAATTGATGAACTTTATCATCTACTACGTACTTGAAATCTATAACGATTTTTAAAACGTGTAGATAGAATCATGCAAGCAACAAAGAGTTATTCCAACGCCTAGTTTTAAATATGGTGCAAAGTTTAAGACCTATTAAATATTTAAGAATAAAACTATTAAATGTATAACTAATTAATAAAACCTTTGAGAAATAAAAAGGGGCTGCAACTTAACTGCTTTTGAGCTTCAAGTTTGCCATTTCAAGCAAGCCATTCTTATCGAAAAGCACGGAGTTGACTTGATTCCTTTCAAATCATAGTAACGTAGATGTTAGAATATGTCGATCGATAACATAAACCACCTCTATCTTTATGTGAACTACATGATTAGACAATCTCCATTGTTCTATGCCATATTTGGTGTAATTTTCCACCAAATTTAGTGCAATTTGGTGTAACCATTGAAGATAGTCTTACATCAAATTTTATACCAAATTTTATTTTAAATGACTTAATTATTATTTTAGTTTAATGTTGTATTGTACTTTAATTTACGTTTTTAAGATATTTATGTTATTCTAATGCTAATTTATTCTTTTAACTTTTAATTATACTTTTGAGTCTTTAATGAACAATTTTAATATATTGTATCAATAATTATTACTTATTACTTGATTAGAATTTAAAAATAAATGCTAAGTAAAAATAACTATCCCATTAAAACAATACAATAAATTAAAATCAATTAATTCTAAAAAAAAAAGAAGGCTATAGATGGAACAAAAAAAATTTGTTGTAAAGGAGAAGAGAGATGACAAAATGGTAAATACTGACTCCAAGTTTAGTATTTCCCCAAATTTTACACCAAATTTGCCTAATCATTGGGGTGCTTTTTACCCCAAATTTGTCTAACCGTTGGAATGGTCTTAGAGATGGCTTTCTTGGGGAATTTGGTTTTCCCATTTGAGGAGCATATGTTTATAAATTGGTGGAATTGTAGTTAACCGCAGAAATTCCATATGAAGTCTAAAGACTAGATGACAGTACCTGCATTAGTGCGGAAAATGACGAAATATACACTGTTGCTACGATTAAAATGACATTCCTCGGCCAGAGGAATGAGTAAATAACTAAATATACACTATCATTGATGAATTGTATCGATAATACATAGTTGGAAGTCCATTCCCTTTTCCTTCCCCCTCTCTTGCAGGAGGAAGCTTGAAACTTGGCAGTAATGGAATGTTGTGAAGCTACGACCATGTGACTGTACAACCAGGTGAGCTTTACATCAACCTTCTGCAGTGAATCAACTGTACCTTAAGCGTCTATGTACCAAGGTCTAGAACTTGTCTGAGTCGTCATTTTATCACCAGATGAATTATATCGACACTCCCTTTCATAAACCTTCCTTCTATTCGATTTCAATGGCTTTCTATTGCAATTGACCCTTCAACTGGTCAGTATCAACATATTCTACAACTGTACAAAAACTCTTCAAGCGGACTAGTAGACTCATTTGAAAGCTTTCTGAGACTCAAAGTTATAACGTGGTCTGTATACAATTCTGTACAGTTGATCGTATCCAGCAAGAACTCCAGCCCCGGCCACCCCAAGAAGCATATTTGCCGTAACTCCTCTAAACAGTGCAGTAAAACCTTCAAGGCGAATGATTTCGCGAAATGCGTGCATGGCATTACGATACTTTACTGGTTGTCCAGAAGTTAGCATCATTCTCCGTCGCACTGTGTCAAAAGGATAGGCACAGACCCCAGAAACAGTGGTTATACTCCAACCCAAGAAGAAACTAGCAAAGAAATTGTCCTGTATGTCAAAAATTAGTCTTCAATTCTTGACAATACCATGTAAAGAAATTGAACCATGTGAGGCGCGCACACTTTAAATCTGAAAAGGTGATGTGCAGCTCTCGTTTCTTTTTCTAGCTTTCCTTTAGTTAACTAAACATGTTCATCATATCTATCTACTGTTAAAATTTTCATTAAAGCAAATGGTTCCATAATTGGCAGTGGTTCAATGCATCAAAAATATTATGGCCAGTGCAAATTACATCCTACCACAAAGTGATAACAACAGAGGAGATTCACTCACCTGAAGTGGTCCAACCAAAACAATAGGTTTCATGGTGTCGTAGATCCCAAAATACATGCCTCGATAAAGAGTTATTCCCATGATCGAAGCCCCGAATCCCCGGTATAGACCAGCTATTCCATCAGTGGACAAAGTCTTTCTGTAAACATCTATTAGCCCCTTATATTGCTGTTTACCATTGATGGGACATCCCCTAGCATCTATGGCCAGCCGAGTTCGTGCATAATCCAGGTGATAAAGAAATAGTGAGGTAGTTGCTCCAGCAGCACTCCCAGAAGCAACATTTCCAGCAAACCACTTGAGATACCCATCTTTCTCTTTTGAACATCCAAAGAGGGTTTTGAAGTAACCTTTGAATGCGAAGTTGAAAGCCTATTGAAAGTTTAATAATGACTCCTCAGAAATGATTTACACAGAGTCAAAAAGGACTAAACAGTTCGTTATGAAAATTTCTTTCATTTATAAAAAAAATTGAATGTAAAATGTAGAAACATCACATTTAGGGGGATATTGTATAATCCAAAATGTTTTTGTTATGAACATAAAATTGGCTATTTTGTTGGCAGATATGAGTCAGTTGAGGAAAGAAGAAAAGAATGCAAGCTAATTATATAGCTATTTCAACAGACAAAAATATTTAACAAGTTATGCATTCCATGATTAAAAAGCTGCATAATATAATAGGTAGAGCTACCAATGTCTTCACTAAAGGTCTAAGATTAGTTCTCATAGAAAAATCACTTTGGAGTAAATTGTTAAAGAGTCAAGTTTTATAGGGATAACGGAAAAAAATGATTTATAAACCAACCAGCCTTAAAAGTTGAAAATCATTGATTCATTATCCTTCAATCACATTCTGAAGCAGACCAAAGCTTAGGTATAGCTCATCATTTAATGCTGTAAGAAGCATATATTTAAAAAAATTCTCATTATACAAAATTCAAGGGAGTATATTATTCATGTATGAGAATGCAATGAAAATGATAGAACAAGATTACCATGTTATCTCAAGGGCAAAAATAAAGTCAAAATTAAAAATTGTCACGATTGAAAGAGACACAACAGAAGATCAATTATGAGGAAAATTGTGAGCACATTTCTTCATAGCGCAAGAAAGCATTAGACAGAGGATGTTGCCCGCAGAAATTTTTACCATGTTCAGTGCCATTGCAAAATAACAATCATAAACAAAGATTTAGTTTTATTTTGTACTTTTTTCCTTTTTATTTTCCATTGTCTACATCTTCTCACATGCTTGACAGCTTGAGTGCCTATGTTTCTTTATGTTACAACCTGAATTATCCAGAGAAAATATATTATTCAGTTGTATTTGCATTTTAAGTACAGAATTTCACCAACCAGTAAATTGTTTATTGGCATCAATGAATTTTAATTTTAGTTACATGCAAACTCAATCTATTAAAGAAAATTGAGAGGTAAACTTCTTATAAAGCCAGAGCAGACATCTAAGTAAAAAAGATAATTCTAGATAAATTAATTAAAACATAAAAGTGCAGAATGCATGATCAATAGTTATAGTAACTTAAAAAACTGTGACATTCCATTAGAGTAATATGGGGAACAGCAACATCAAACAATTGACGTACAAACCGCTTTTGAAATAAAAAAGATTAAACCCAGTAACAAATAACCGAAAAGGTTACCAAGCAAAAGGATATACCTGAGTTGGAAAATATCGTATTACATTGGCCTGGTTACCCCTCCAAAAGGACAAAACACCCTCCTCTCTGAGAACCCTTCTGAAGCAATCACCAAGACCTATATAGGGTCTTTGAAGCTGTCCCCTTTTTATCAACTCTCCTTGATTCTGTAACAAAAGCTTCACTCTCTCAATTGGTGCAGCAGCACTTTTTGCTACAATTGCAGCAGACCCTCCCATAATAAAATTGACGGAAAATTTTTCAGATCGTGTTGCCATCTCAAATCCCTTTCCCTTGCCCTCTCTAGAACTGCACAGGTGAACATCCAAATGATGTTTCAGAAAATTTCTATCTTTTCTTTTTCATTTTTATTAATGTTTTCCTTTTAATTCTCCTCCTTGTAGGTTCTTTTTACCACTTTTTAAATGTAAAACAGATTCTATAAGGTACTTTTTCGAATGAGATTAATGGAAATTTTAGTGACTGAAGAGTACATCAAGGGGCAAATTTAATACTCATTTGATAGGGTTCCAATCTGACAGAATACAAGAACTCCAACAAGAAGAAGACAGCATTAACAACAAAGTGTTTTCAGTTAGTATAAAATAACAAAAAATTAAAAAAAAAGGTACAAATAAAACGAACACAAAAAATAATAAGATAAGAATTGGTTATGAAGCTCTTATTTGTCTAATTTATAACTGAATTACCGTGTTGATTTAAAAATTTCCAAGACAAGTGTTAAACTTAGCTAAGATGCTACTCCTTGCTGACTGAATCTGAATCATGAATATACGCAAATACCATTAAATAAACTTCGAGATCAAATTGAATTAAAATTAGGGCAATTTCCAATCATCCAACCAAAAGCTACCAAGGAATCATAACAAAATCGAGTCTTTACAACATAAAAATACAGAACTATTCCTAAAAAGGCGCATCAATCCAAACTATATTTATATTCAAATAAAGCAATTTATTTCATCAACAGGGTCCTTTCCATTCCCAATAAACAAAAAGAAAAAACAAAGCTTCCAATCCAAACACAAAAATAAATCCCAATATAAATAAAGATATATTCATATATACAATACATTTA